GCACAGGTGACATCCCAGAGGTCACCTGGGTACTTACAGAGGGCACCGTGGCAGCAAGGGGGATCATCACCACCGACACGGCTCGGAAGAAGTTGGTGACAAGCCTCTGGATCCGTGAAACTGGCGTTTTTGTTTGGGAGGCAAAGATCTGAAAGGGCAGAAACTCACAGTTACAGACAAACTCTTTTCGAAACGGCTGCACTGAAGATTAACACCCAGAAATCTCATTAGAGCAGCATTCCAAAGAAACTGCAGTCAAGACTAAATATTACTGAAGTTCAAGTAGATCTGAGACACGTCCCATCCGACCTGGAGGCCTCTGAACAGAAACACCTAACACATTAAAATACACAGAGCAAAGAGATTGTGTTTCACTTCTGCCCAGGGCATTTGAAGCAGTGACAATCTGCAGCCACCTTCACGTGCCAGCCCTCTGCAGTCACTGCTGCTGGTTTGTCCCACCAACATACCTCCACCACCAGCAAATTCACCAGCCCCAGGGACACGGGCAAAATCCACGTGGAATCAGGCGCCGTGAGGTCTGTGAACCACAGGGCTCCTCCTGAGGAAAACTGTTCTTGCACTACAGGGAAAAAATGGAAGAAAATACAAAATTCAGTATAATTTGCTGTCTCAAGCGAGCCAGAACTGTACCATATGTTAAACCAGAGATCAAAGTTTCTAGGTATGTTTTATCCACATGGTAAGTACAATTAAAGCCAAAATCTTTGGTTTAACACTCTGCTACCAATATAAGTAAGAAAAGTGAGAGATACAAGCTGAGACCTGGCTTAGCTCATGACAGCCACAGACAGGAAAATCTGCAATAAAAAAATACTTCAAGCTCAAATATTTTACAAGTCAGTGAGGAAAACAGGAATGCAGTAACCTACAGTGTTTATTTCATGATTTTGAGAAAACAATATTCTTCTTAGTAGCTGTATAACTAGCCATCTTTGCTTAAAAAGACAAAGTATAAACTCTTGTCTAAAAAATCACTTGTTTTTTTTAAATTTAAAAGACCCTCACACATTCATCTTGTCTACAGTATTTCACAAGGAAAGAGAATGGAAAGAGAAAAAATACAGATTAACAGTGAGTGTGGTGTGGCACGTGTGCTATGATTTGCTAAACAGGACTGTCAGACTACATTAAGTTTAGAACTCATTTCAAATATTACTTATTATTTGTATTAATTAAGGTTTATTATATTATTAGGTTTATTATTTATTATATATCAGGTTTAAAGCCTGAGTGGCTGACTGATTTTTACATCAGCTTGGGACACTGTGCCCTTTAACCAACAAGGTGCCAGTGAAGGCAGCAAGTGGGTAAGAGGTGAGGGTGAGAGAAGATTTGTGTGCAGGTGCAGCACCTATTTGTGGGACAGGACCCTCTTTCTGACCTCCACAGGTGCACGTGCCCACCTTCAGAGCCCAGCGCGCCGACGCTGCAGTTGCGCAGCGCCAGGGACACGCACACCCACATGGGCACCTGCACCCACAGCAGCAGCGTGGCCTTCAGCGGGTGGCAGTTGTCCCGCACGTACAGCTCCGCCACGATCCTCCGCATGTTCCGCGCAAAGTGGGACCTTGGGGACAGGAGAGCACAGGTCAGGGCTTTGACACGGACAACGGCTGAAGGGCAACAGAATAAATAAATAAATAAATAAATAAATAAACCGCAGGCGGGGAAAGAAAACCTAAGCTGTGGGCCGTGGCAGAACCTTGCTGCCAAAGCGCTGTTTGTGGCACCTTCCTTCCTGCACGCCCCGCTCCAGAACGGATGCAGCAGGTGTGGGCAATCCCCCTCGTACCTGGCCACCTTCTCAGACCAGCCCAGCTGCTTTCCACGCACTGAAACTTCATAGCGAAGGCGCTGGGCAAGCTCCTTAATCTCAGGCTGCAGGTTTTCCAGCTAGCTAAAGAAAAGGAGAACTGGTTGGGCACAGTGGCAGGCAACACTCCCTCCCTCCCTCCCTCCCTCCCCTCTGTTGTTAGCTATCCCTGATAACTCAACACCTCAACAAGTATTACACTTATTAATTACCACTGTAAAATTTAATATCTGTACAGGAATTAGTACGTATTAATAATGTACAGTAATTAATACACATTGCCACTGTAAAATTCAATACCTCGATGGGTATGACACATAATTATTACTCTTCTATGGCTTAATACCAGCACAGACAATCAAACGTATTCATTACCACTCTAAGTTAACACCCGTAGGGGTAGGAAACCCCTGTGGGAGACAAGGCATCTTGTTAACGTCTCACTCAACATCAGCGAACACCTTTCATCTTTAAACAAAATAACCACGCAAAGGTAACAGTGACAAGTAATTGCAGTAACAATCAAAAATACTCTCTAACTACTACATGAAATGAATACAGAATTTTAATCTTTTTAGACTTTGTACTTTTTAAAGAAGAAAGTGATTTCTATTACAGTTGAAACCAGGGCAATTCTTAGCAAGCATCTTTTTGCCTGCATTCAGGACTTGTAATCAGCTATTCCACTTAAGAAGACTCAGCTGTAATGGCACTTCAATGTGAAAAAAACCCAAACAAATGGACAATTATAAAAACTAATAATAATATACAAATATAAATATATAATAGCAAATACATATATGCTTAAGAAAAATCTTAAATTAACAAACCAAAACTACTACAATATAATAGAATGCATTATTTAGAAATATATTGTGTTACACATGATAAAATATGCAAAGTGTATATATATATAAATAAAATGAAGAGTAATAAATTAAAGGCCATGAGGACACAACTCGGCAGTGAACAAAGTCACCACCCACAGCATAAGAGACAGGAGAGTGCAACACACGCTCACTTCTACAACCAAAAAAAGCACAAAACGTAAAAAATCCTTTAAAAAAACCCCCAAACCCGCTGCAATAAAGGAATTGCGATGCTCATTCCGCGGCCCCCTCAGCCCCTCC